TAATATTTCCCTTTAACTTAGCAAGAATTCGCTTCTTTTTCCTGCTGATAATGCACAAGACACTCGTTATTTTGTGAATGTCAGCCTTATTGGAGTTATCTTTGTGCACCGCTTGTTTGCAAAATAGCCAGCCTACAGGAAGGATTGCCTTTTCCCTATGTTGTTTGCTATTGACAGGATGTCCAACTCCCTCCGTCGCCTATAATTTGAAGCTTATGGTCACAATGCAGCCAATACAGTGAGCAGCCCCATTTGTCGCCGGTTAATTAAATGTGACCCACTTCTTTCATCCTACCCTTCCCTTCCACTCCGGGGAATTGCTGTTCACATGCCAGTCAGTGTTAGCGCAGCAGGGCAGAATATTATTTTGATTATTTGATACAATAGTGCTGCATTTTGCAGCCAAAACTGTGTGTGTGCTTAGGCACAAACAAGAACATGCTCGTCTTGCCATTGCAACAATACTGCTGTTGTAGGAAGACCAAAGCAGACAGCGTTGGATGTCTGAGTGTAGCAGGTTTACATACACCCAGCCAGTCCATCCTGTAGGCATGGGGCATCGGGGCAGTGGGTAGGACAGCTGTGTTTATAGGGATCTAAGAGGACCTCCTCCTTTCCTCCTGAGCCAGGAGATGGGGACCTCGAGGTGGTCACGGCTTGCATAGATTAACTAAAAGCAAGCAGCAGTACAGCAGCAGCAACTTGTGTGCATCCCTACTTCTGCTCCTACCAAACATAAATGTTTCTTATGGCCACCCCAGCTGGGGGCACTTCCAGCCCTGTTTCTGGCAGAGCTGCTGCTGGTTCCATCCCTATGGCTGCTCCTCCCTGCTGGCGAATCAGATGAGAGAGGGCTGAGACACACAGCATCTCACAGGCCAGCTTCTGTTTCTCTGCCCTGCAGGAGTCTGAAGAAAAACCAGTGGACATGTGCAGGCTTTGTTTCAGCTGCTCACAATACTTCTTTCCACGGTGTGGCTGGTGCCCACTGCAGAGCATAGCCATACCCTCTGCCAGCCCCACCCCAGTGCACTGCTGGGGTTCCAAATTTAAGGCAAGGGCTGCTTGCAGGGCTCCCTTCACTTAGCACAGGTAGTTGTGAGCATGGGAGCTTCCTGCAGAGGGAAAAAAAAGACCTCAGGGTGGTGTGAAACACAGTGCATGGAGCAGAGACAACCCTGGTCACTAGAGGTAGACCTTAACATAGATTTTACTGGGCAGTGGTCCATGCCCAGGTAAGGCTGAAGAAGGCTGCACGACACTGTCCATGAAGCCACTTCTCTGGATCCAGAGCAATAACCCAGAATGCAACTTTTAGCCATGGAGCATAACCCATGCCAAGAAGCATCATCATCCTGGGGTGCAAAGGCACCAAAAGCAACAGGGTTCGAACGTAGGGAAAGGGAAATATATTGAGGAGAGCAAGCCCAAGGCAGACAGTAACATTTAATTTGGCCTTGGAGAGGTGTATCTCCCACCACAGGCTCAGATCGTCTCACCCATGTAAATTCTTCAACGCCAGGAGGATTCTTCTCAATTCACACCAGTCCTGGAGAGCAGACTTAGCCTGAAATTAGGTAGTTTGCTGTAATTTATAATAGTTCTGAGACTTAAACTGCACCACTGAAGATAACAGGTGTGTCTAAAGGGTCCGTCACGCTTAGTTATTTATCTAATAACTCCATCCCTTGGAGGTTTGGCCCTAAACATTGTTAAATGAGCCTGTTTCAATTTTCAAAACAAAACCCATCTTAGCAAGAGAATGTGAGCAGCCCCATGGCAGAAACCTGTGGAGTATATATGGGGCTCCGCTGTTGGAAGCATTACATTCCCAGATCTTTTGTTATTCAGGTAGCCTAATTCAGCTTAATTTACTTTGTTTTATTTTACTTACCACACTTCATCCTGCAGCAGAAGGGCCTACAACATGCTGTGACCAAAATGCCTGCAAAAGGCCAGCAGAGCTCTGGGTGCACACAGAGGGGCTGTGCATTGAGGATGATGGGGTCAGCACCCAAAGAGAGCCTTGTTTTGGGGTTAAAAGTGACAGGTGAGCCTTTCTGGGGATAAACGAAAGCTGTAAGGGATTTGAAGGCCAGCTTTCTTCTCCAAAAGAACAGTGATGCTGTGGCACTGGTGGAGTCACTGACCCTGGAGGTGTTCCAAAGCCATAGGGATGTGGCACTGAGGGATGTGGGCAGTGGGCATGGTGGGGTGGCTTGACTTGATGATCTTGGAAGCCTTTTCCAACCTTAGCGATTCTACGATGCTATGATTCTACCTCTCCCTGCAGACCTTTGCAAAAGCAGTAACATTTAAATGTTCTGAAATCAATCAGGTACTTCTAAAAAAGCCACTCCAGACGTGGCACTATTCAGGGAATATCATTTGGGCACTTAACCCGCAGAGATTTAAGTGCCTGTTTAATTTCAATCCGAGTGATTTCCACGAATTTCAGCCGCAGTGCTTTTGTGGGAAGGTTTAGTGGTGCCTTGGCCTCTGCAGCACTGCAGCCCCAACTTCCAAGAATGAGTGCCAACTGCATGCTAACACAATGCTGAGCCCCTTCTCATGGCTGTTCTATGGGATACAGCAACCATTTAATGGTTTCAATCCTCTGGACCCAATAATATGTGTCTGGGTTGCAACAATCTTGAAGTTAACTGTGTCAGGTCCAGAAACTCCTTTTGGAGTTACTGATTTTCAACCTGCAACGCTGACCAGAAGGTACATAAGGAGGTTTTTTGCAGCATCACAGAATGGCCAGGGTTGGAAGGGACCTCAAAGATGAAGCTCCAACCCCTCTGCCACATGCAGGGCCACCAATCTTTCCATTTAATACTAGACCAGGCTGCCCAGGGCCCCATCCAACCTGGCCTTGAACACTTCCAGGGATGGGGCATCCTTACGTCCACCTCCTGAGAAGTGTCCCCAGCAGGACAGGGCCTGCCACAGATGGGTGAAGAAAAAGCACAGCATCTCCACAGGGTCAAAATGGCTTCTTGATGAGGCCCATATGTGACACTGTAGGTCTGCTGGCTGTGAGATTAAGGAGACTGAATGGGGGGGGGGCAGAGCCTTGGGTGTGTGTTTGACCTGGGTTGGGTTGACCAAAGCCCAGAAAATGTGGCAAAGCTGTCACATCAGGGTCAGTTCTGAAGGTGCATAGCATCACAGACAGGGCTGGAGGTTGGCTTCAGGCAGAGCAAAGACAAAAGGCAACAGACAACTGAATGTAATCCACAATCCACTGAAGGCTGTGCTGCCACCTGTGGAGATCTACTGAGGCAGATGCCCCCAAATTCTCCTTGCAAGTGAAAGATGGGCAAAGAGGGGCACTTTTCATCCTCCAGCAGCGCCTGTGCTTTGGGATAGTCAGATCTACCACCCCAGAGGGAAGTACCAGCCTGTCTCCCCTCACCCCAGATGCCTCAATGCTGAGTGAGCCACAACCTGGAAATCCTTCGCCTCTGGACACAGGGCTCCATCACACCCAGAAGTCTTTTCGCACATGGAGCAGGAGAAAATCTACACTGTACTGTCACATCCTATGGTCAAGTAAGAAGCTCGTTGGTGAGGCTCTGCTGTTTTCTCCAGTACATGTCTATAGCAGGGAAGCATGCTGGCCTGCACACACACCAAGTGCCCTAGGTATGGGCACAGCTGGAGGTACCACCATGCATTTGCCAGTCTTACTAACAAAGCAACAGCCAAATGGATTTTAGTGTGTGTCTAAATACCAGGTTGGATCTCTGCAAGCCTTCCCAGCCTTCAGCCAGAATAGAAAACATCCGTGAATCCCCCAGGTTTTCTATCGGAAGAAGAAATGGTTGGACACAGAATCAGTTCTCTAGATGTTGAGAGAGTGGTGAGGTGTTGGAATAGCCCAGAGAGGCTGTGATGCCCCATCCATCCTTGGAGGTGTTCAAGGCCAGGTTGAATGGGGCCCTGAGCAGCCTGGGCTGCTATGAAATGTGGAAGTTGGTGGTCCTGCATGCAGCAGGGGAGTCGGAATTTGATGATCCTCTGGGTCCCTTCCAACTCAAGCCATTCTATGGTTCCATTCCATGATTCTATGTCCAAGCCCTGTTAGCACAGTCCCACCTCATGCCAGAGGGGTCGTAAGAAATCCTGCCACTGCTCTAGAGCACATCACTTGGTCCTGGCCTTGAGCGCTAATCCTTAATTGATGCAGGCAGGGGAGGAAACTGAATGCAACCGTACATGCCCAGACTGCCATACTTCAAGACTGCAGGCCAAACTCTGCTCTGCCCCTCACTGCTGTGCTAATGTGATGGGGCAGATCCTGAGCCTCCTCGCCCGCATTAAGTATGAACTGCATCAAGGCGCCCATGGTTTTAGTGCAGTCAAAGGAACCAAAACAGAAGGAACGCGGACACGGCCGGCTACTTCCCAACGAGCCCTCGGTGGTAAACGGGGGCAAGAGAGACCCTTCAGTAGCGCACTTCCCGCACGGCCCCGGGGGAGCACAGCCCGAAGCTCTACCCGGTGCCGATGGGGGGTGCTGGGGAGCCGCGGCGTGCCGCCCCCAGCCCCGCAACCCGCCCCGCAGCGAAGCGCGCGGTCAGAGCGAGCGCAGCGCGCCCCGCACCGTCGGTCCCGCGCAGCACCGGCGCGCAGCGTGGTCCGCGGGGGCACCGTACGGCACCGCACCGCTCCGCGCATCCTAAGGCTGAACGCACAGCCCCGCGCATCCCATCTCCGGGCGCGGCGCGGCGCTCCGGCTCGGCACCGCCCGCTTCCCTGAGCACCCGGCGGCGGTGGCGGAGCCGCGGGGACCCGGGAGGCGGCGGCGGAGGAGGAGGAGGAGGCGGAGGAAGGCGCGCGGCAGCCAGCCACGCAGCTTTGACGTCGCCGGGCTGCGGCTCCCCGGCTCCGGCAGCCGGCACGTATAGCAGCACAACGTGACGGCACACGGCCGCCCTCGCTTCGCGCTCGCGCAACCACCGCGCGGCAGAAGGACCCCCGCCGCCCCCGCCATGGGCCCGGCCGCCGCTCCGCAGGCGCGCTGAGCGCCGAGGGCTGCCCGCTGCGCGCCCGGCCGGCCCCCAGCTCCGCGGCCCCACCTCCGCGGCCCCGCGCCCACCCCCGGA